CCCCAAAACCCCAAAACCCCAAAACCCCAAAACCCCTAACTTTTAAATAAAATATTAAAATCATTATCATTTATTAAAAAGTAAGTCATGGAATAAAGATTTCCTAAATTCTTTCATAATACCATATTTGCATGAATTTCCTTTGTTTAACATTTGACAATCCTGGATATTTTGGATTTTATTTAGCTTACAAATAACCTATAGCACAAGCAAATACAATATGAACGAAATAGTAAAAATGAATTTTTACGATTCAAGAAGAATAGTGAACATGCTAGAGAAAGTATATATATTCCAACTAGAGCAATGATTCTCAGAGAAGCCTAAATAAGGAAATGAATCTCAATGAGTTCATCAAGGCTTTCTTAGATCATGTCAGACATATCAAAGAAGATGAATCATTCATAATTGCAGGTTTGACAGATATTTATAATGACATCCTTCAAGCGAATGATGTAGACAAGCTTCAATGGAAGCACTTCACTTCATTTATCATTGAAAACGTAGTAGAAAGCGATATGGAAGATTTTACGATCCCAAGTAAATACATATCCAAGATCATCTCAAAATAAGTTTGATAACATTTATAGCTCTATTGAGCTAACTAAACATATTCCCACTGTCATGGGAGGTAGTCAGAGTTGTCTTAGAAGGTTCTCTCCAAGTACTAAGATAATGGATTCTATCCATCATAACCAAGGGATTAAGAAGATAATCACAATCCCTGTAAATAAAACCGTAGCGTGACTTGACAATTTAACAGAATATATAAAGATCTATGATGAAGAGTGTAATTTACAGAGGAACTTAGGTCCAAAGAAAAAGGACCCAAAGATCGATAATGCAGTCTTACACTTTGCCTATTCAAACTATGAGAAAAGAATAGGTGCTTGCTTGTTTGACCATAGGCTTAGCTTTTGGGATGTTAGAGATAATTTTAACTATGAAATGACCTTCCACACAAGGTTAGAGTATAGGCAAAACTTCATCCTCTATGCAGAGTTCTGCACTACCTGGGTCACAGTAGATACTGAATCCAATATATATACCTGGAATATAGAAAATGAGACTTGTAAGAAGCTGCCTAAGCAGCATACTAAGCCCATAATCGACATGAAAGAAATCCCGCAGTACAAAGTTATAGCGGCATGCTCCCTTGATAAGCTGATTATTCTTTGGGATATTGTTAAAAGACATGCAGTACAAGAGATCAAACTTGATACAGTTTCTGTACACTCACTCGCATATTCTGTCGACTTTAGAGTGATGTTCTCAGCAGGATATGAGAACCACATCAATATATGGTCTTTCGAAAGATCAGATTGCTATCATATGGACCAACTGGGAGGACATAATGCCCAAGTAACTGCAATAGAAGTTATCAAAGATACTCCTTTGTTAATCAGTGCTGATGAAATAGGCTTCATTAAGACATGGGACATCCGAAACTTATCTTGTTTTCAGACTATACATTTTGAAAGCAAGGGATCAATCAGATCTTTCTTGTATGTAAACTCCCAAAAATTGATTGGAGCCGACATTCGTCTTCATTGGTTTGAATTTGAAGATCCTCTATCAGTTAATGCTAACGGCCTCGATCTGTATGGAATCACACCAATAGATGCTAAATATAGCTATGCAAACGACGAGATTCTGATTCTCACCAGGAGTGATGTTAGAATCATAGACATATTCACTGGAAAAATCAAGAAGATACTTGCCAATGTCAAAACTGATGATGCTGATATTTCTCATCTGGAGCTGTACTTGAACCACAAGAAATTCATTCTTGGAGACACTAAAGGAAATATTAACACCTTCGATAAGTTCAATGGGACTGTTTACTCAAGGAATGTATGCCATAATACCGAAATCTCTGGTGTCGTTGTGGACTTCCACAACAAGATGGTGATCTCTACTTGTCTAGATTCATCCATCATGGTGCAGAAGGAGACCTGCAAATAAATGTGAAAGAGTTAAATATGTCAAAAATGCTCACTATGGAGAGTTTATCAACGCTATGTGCTTCTCAGTGCACTTGAACTTAATAGCTACCTCAGGAGGAGGAGTTATCTTTACCTGGCAGTATGAGTACATGAAATTGATGGGAGCTTGTTCAAACAATTTCCATGAAGTCGTGTCTATGTCCTTTATCGATCCTTACCCCTTTCTTGTGTCTCTGGATAAATCTAATTCAATTTGATTTTGGAAATTATCGGAAGCAAACGTGTTAGAGTTTTACATTCCATTACATATAATCCATCTTGACGGAATTGATGAGCCATTACATATGAAGAGCTTCACGCTGATTCCTGGAGATCTTGAAGATATTTCTTCGCCTCAGCAAGCTCTACCTTATGTAAGATGATTAGATAGAAGATTCAAAGGAGGTTATATCGATAAAGAAGAGATTCTAGATCCCACTACCTTCAAGATTCTTGGTGAAGAAGAAATTAAAGAAATAGAGGAAGGATACGAAAAAATTTACCTCACAAGCCTTAAAGAAAATCCTACTAACCAGGAAAGCCCTTCTCGGAAGAAAAAGAAGGCAAAATAAGAAGAGGAATCTTGAAAAAGTTGACAAGATAGAGGAAGCTCATACTCTTTGCTTAAACGATGATGAGGGTAACGTCCATATGGTTGATGTCCAAAGGTTGATAACTAAGTACAATATCATCCCAGCCACAGACCAAACAAAGAGGTCTAACTACTTCCCTGCCAGGCCAGTACGATCTGAGAAGAATAACTTGTTCTCTAATAAGGAAGAACTTAGAAAAGAGATTATTCAGAACACAGAAGAATGTAAAAATATTGAAAAATTATCTGAAATTTCCCCACTTTACCATCACTCTTGGAACATGTCTAGTGAGATCATTACAATGATGTCAATCATTGAAGTTCCAACTCAAAGAGTACTGTTTGATCCTTCCATATCAATGAAGGATGCTTCTAAAACAACTCATAAATATGTAGACCCGCTAGTGAAGAGCTCTAACAAGTTAATTATCACATCTTCTGGAACAAATTTGGTGAAAATATCCTCTGTTTTTGGTGAGCCAATGTGAAAACTAAATTTGGATCAGCCTCTTCCATACTCTTGGAGATTAGTAGTTGATAAAGGCAGTCAAGCCATCACAGAATTTCCAAAGGTAAGTTTCCATCCTAATCACAGGAACCGAGCGAAATGAATGAAGAGAGCAATACTAAGTCATTGATCAGTAATACCCTATTTCCAAAATCAGAGAGTAGCATTAGTGAGAAGTTCAATTCAGCTTCTTTGATCAAAAGTATTCTCTATATCTATCATCATAGGTCCATCATTCGATAACACCAGCACCCAGAGTGAAGTTGGAACCTTCCATGAGTTGTACCAAAAAGTGAACAATCAAGATAAAAGTTTTAAAAATGTATCCTTTTGCTTAATCCCTACTAGAACCATATGAAAATGACGCTTAAGCAGCTCGGTATTAAGAAAAAGGAATACATTGGAAAAGATGAAGACGAACCAGCCAAGAAAACTAGCCAAAGGAAGAATCTCAAGAACACCCATCTCTTTGATAGAGGTAAGAAACTGATTTTGACTTGTAGTAATGGGCGAGAAAGGAGCCAGCAAAACCATCAATCATGAAGAGTCCCTGTTCGATATGTTCAGGAATGTAGGGTACGATTCCCATAACTTGGAATCTAACCAAACTATTTCCGCTAAGGAATGGGAGACTGAGTTTGATACAGAGTTTCAAACTATAAAAGAAAAGCGGAAGCTAGAAGCCTCTGCTAAACAAAAGCGCTATTTTAAGAATAAATTAAAAACCTCTGAGCCAAATATTACCCTTAATAAGAACTTTTCTAGTAAGTCTTTTACCAATACTTTAGCTAAAAGTTTTAATTCTCATATTGATCTTATGCGAATGCCTACAAAGGCAACTTCTGGGTTCCAAAACCCCAAAGGCTCAGTATGAGCGCCAAGCATGAGTAAATTTGTCCTAATCCATAGTGAGCAAAATAGAGCCAAAATAATCTCAAAAATATAATTAAGGAATCAGGTATGATTCTATCTTACCCCTAGGTTATAAACCCAGTGGCAAGAAGCTATTTGCTTCATCTGAAATTCCAGAAAATCCTGAGCCTGTAAATCCCAAGAAGAAAAAGAAAATGAGGCAGAGTGCTAGCATGGGGGATATCTCCAGGTCTAAACTACCCAATGAAAGTTCACCAAATATGAACAATACATCGCGTTACTCGAATCTGTAATTCCTTTCACTAATTCTGTTAGCAACTGGATCTCTTACTCCAAAATGAAGGGTGAACAAATGCCAGAGTTTAAGAGAACTTTACCGTAAGATCATGGGCTTCACACATCTAGGAATTTAGACGAGTCCTGGAATCAGAAATAACAGTTATAACAACCCTAAGAGAGAACGTATGAACTTCCTCAAGCAGCTAGAGGCAAAGAGGAAGCAATTCAAATAAGGGTAGATTCCAATGTTAAATTTTAGGCGTTAAAAGTGATTTCAGACAGTTGCAAACAGACCCAAATGCTGACCTTGACAGTAAGCATTCTTTGTGTAAATCTTAGTGCGCATAAAGAACTTGATGATGGTTTCACAAAATCCTATGAAGACCAAAGCCTTTAAAGGCAAAGGTAAGCACCTAAATTTAATATGAAGAGCATACAAATTTATTTCTCTTTACATGAAGAATTCAGAAATTTCAAAATTTACACATTCTTAGAAAGGTTTATGAATACTAATTTTATGTAGAACAAAAGAAGTTATCTTTCCCTCAAATCAGAAGAGACAAATATACATATCCAGATGTAGGATCTTAAGGAAGCCTTAAAGGAGTTTCAGTCTTAAGATCATAAATTAAGAAGCATAATTTGAATATTCATTTTTTGAGAAATTATTAGGGGTTTTGGGGTTTTGGGGTTTTGGGGTTTTGGGG